ACACTGAACCTCTTCAGGTCTGAGGAGAACGCAGTTTTGGGCACAGCTCTTCAGGAAACTCACTCTGGTTCGTTCTCTTGGGAGTGACATGCCAGCCAAAGACAAAGGGAGAGTCAGGGGTGGGATTTCCTCACATTAATCTCACCAACTAGCATTCTAAGGCCAGCTCCCCTCTCTATCCAACCCCATATCACACCGGGCTCATGGGGCTGGCACTTTCATATTGTAGCCATTGGCATGTGGCTTCCACTCTAGTTTCTTTCTCCTATAACTCTTGGGTTACCTAAATCCATTTCATTACATTGGACCACTGCTCTTTGATTTGTGTCCTTCTGGGATTGGGTATTATAACGATTATACTTAACTCTGAATCGGGCAATGAGTTAAGTTATTTCACCATATCGCTCACTACATATAGTCCTTCTTTTAGGACAGTTTGCATTTTGGGGGGTTTATGGATTAGGGCAAATACAGTAAAGTCACCTTTCCATGGTTAATCTCTGTCCACTATTTCCTCTCCTGTCCACCTTCTCAAAATGCCTTTCAATCTCTCTTTCTGGTAGTTTTGTAGTTAAAAAAAATTACAAATATTTATTGTCACATTAAGTTAAAAAAATAGATTCTCAAGAAAAAATATAGCTTGGAGTATGTATACAGTAGAGGACCTAAGTAACTGTAACAAAATGAAACAGCAATATTTTATTTAGCAAAAAAAGGGAAAAAATGAACAAAAAGGGAAGTTCTAAATTTCATGTTAAGTGATTAAGTGGTTTATAATCTAAATGCATCAACTGCCTCTCAGAAGACAGAAGGAAGGACGTTATTTCCGTCACTTTTTGCAGAAAAGTAGTAACAAAGACATTATGTGATTTTCATAATGCTGACCAATCAGCTGCCCTGATGTTATGATCTCTGTATCCCACACTACCCAGCATAGAGAAGTCAATTCTTTGATGGGACTTAAGGACTGGTTGTTGAACACAACACAGGGAAATTGTGTCAGTATAGCAGATTATAATTCAGAAAAGAGCCCAAGAAGACTGGATCATTCCCTGGTGACGAGAAACTAAAGGGAAGTGTTTGCTAGATGAATTCTCTGCTGGGTGAAGGGGCGTGTTTTTCCCCCTGTCATCTCCTGCCACTTCTTATCCATAAATGGCTGAAAGCTCCTCCCAATGTCTTTTTTTCCTGTCCGTCTCTCTTTCATCTGGTCCTTACCCATCAAGCTTTCTCCCCATCTCTTTCTGTCCCTAGCATCCCCCAGGACTGTAATCTCTCTATATACTTATCAATCACACGCATGAGTGACATTAAGGGAGATGTCTTGGACCATTTGTTCCCATTATTTTTATTAGAATAATTAAAGCTGGTCTCTATGCGAGGCAGGAACTTTGTGCTAGGCTCAGTCATCCCGAAACCTCTGCTTTCTGCAGTAGGTCATATCTCCTTCTCAAGCCCACTGCATGTGCACACCTGTTAGTAAAGGGGTTTCAGAGATTGGGTTATCCCCAGCCCTGTGTTTCACTTACCATCCACGCCCCTGTGCTGCCTCGTGGCATAGAACAGTTAGATCCCAGTGGGGCTACGTCGACATTGGCATGATTTTCCGAAAATGCTTTTAACGGAAAACTTTTCCGTTAAAAGCATTTTCGGAAAATCATGCCAATGTCGACGTAGCCCCACTGGGATCTAACTGTTCTATGCCACGAGGCAGCACAGGGGCGTGGATGGTAAGTGAAACACAGGGCTGGGGATAACCCAATCTCTGAAACCCCTTTACTAACAGGTGTGCACATGCAGTGGGCTTGAGAAGGAGATATGACCTACTGCAGAAAGCAGAGGTTTCGGGATGACTGAGCCTAGCACAAAGTTCCTGCCTCGCATAGAGACCAGCTTTAATTATTCTAATAAAAATAATGGGAACAAATGGTCCAAGACATCTCCCTTAATGTCACTCTACTCATCTGCCTACTGGGGGTGGTGAGGAATAGGACCATTCACTGCTTCCTAAGCTTCTGCATTAAGAGGAACCCTTCACGTTCTACATCCTGCACCCGGGCATGGCCCACTCTGGTTTCCTTCTCTTCCTGTGTGTTTTCCTTACAATGGATATGAGGAGCCATTTCCTCTGTTTGGATTTAGACTAGAGGCCTTTTCTGCTGCTACTCTGTTCACATAAATCACCAACCAGAATCTCCTAGCAGCCATCAGCATTGAGAGATCTCTCTCCAACTTCTTACCATTCTGGTGCCAATTCCATCACCCAAAGACTTTGTCTGCCCTTGTGTGTGCTTTGCTCTGGGCATTCTCCTCCCTGCTAATTGGACTAGTGTGTTATTTTCGTGCTCTTAATTGGAATGAAAAATGTCCAGGGACAGTCATAAGCCATGACGGACTGGGAAGGCAACAGTCCCTTGAACAGGTCAGTGTATAGAGTAGATTTTAGATCCAACTGAAATCCAGGTCATGTTGAGCTGGGGCAAATTGCAGATCCTTCCGCAGACTGCAGTGAGGACAGAGATAAAGCCCTGAAAGAGGGTAAGGATGGAGCAGATCCTTGGGGAAGTAGCCCTGGTAAAAGGCAACTGAAAAGAAAGTGCATCTGGGATAGGGCCTGGGAGTGGAGGGTATCACAGGAATGGGAGCTCATGGACACGTCCTCGGCCAGAAGGGGACACTCATGAGAGGATGAGCCCTTTACAAGCTCCCAGCGATGTCAGCTGAGAAAACTCTATGCTGCTAGCCTGTCCTCATGTAAATCATTCCACAGCCAGCTACTGTGCATGAAATACAGGCAGCTGTTCCACACAGCTCTGGGTTCTTGCTTATACACGGTGATGTATGAAACTTTCAGCTCACTGACACCACTGACAAAGTGAAGTCTGCTCTACAGCTTCAGCTGAGAGGGTGTTGACTTTCAGTCCATGCTACAGAGGCACATGGCTTTAGCCCCAGCGGTCCCAGGTTCAGTTCCTCCTGCTGACTATCAGGGTTCATCGGCTCAACATTTAGTTGATAGTCACTTTGCATTTTTTCAGTTGGGCTACGTCTAGACTGGCATGATTTTCCGCAAATGCTTTTAACGGAAAAGTTTTTCCGTTAAAAGCACTTGTGGAAAAGAGCATTTAGATTGGCACGGACGCTTTTCCGCAAAAGCACTTTTTGCGGAAAAGCGTCCGTGCCAATCTAAATGCTCTTTTCCACAAGTGCTTTTAACGGAAAAACTTTTCCGTTAAAAGCATTTGCGGAAAATCATGCCAGTCTAGACGTAGCCCAACTGAAAAAATGCAAAGTGACTATCAACTAAATGTTGAGCCGATGAACCCTGATAGTCAGCAGGAGGAACTGAACCTGGGACCGCTGGGGCTAAAGCCATGTGCCTCTGTAGCATGGACTGAAAGTCAACACCCTCTCAGCTGAAGCTGTAGAGCAGACTTCACTTTGTCAGTGGTGTCAGTGCTTCTGAGCTACAGAAGCAAGGAGTTCTCTCTTCTACAAATGATGCTTGGCTCATACACCCCCAAATAAAAAGACACTGTACCTTCCCACTGTTCACTTGTCTAAGGTATCTTTCCATCTGCTGACCCTAGTGTTAATATAAACAAACACCAACTCACACTCAATGCCCACAAAACAGATATTAGACAGGATCACAAAGAAAAAACAGTTTCTTGCCATTTCAACCAGAAAGGACGTTGTCTCAATGACTTAATTACCTGCATCAAAAGCCTTTTAAAACTGTACTTGAAAGAGAATCCTCTGAACTGTTATTCATGCTAAAATTCGACACTTTACGCCGGGGTCTTAACAAAGACTCTAGTTATCTTACCCATTACAAAGATAGCTTCCCCAAATATCACCTCTAATATCATTAGCTTGCAGACATTTACCTCCCCCCGCCCCCGTATCATCCTTCTGTTCTGAAATTTGATTTGTTCTTTTCATGTGTGTTCATTTTTTTATAATTGTATCCTTTGGTATATATATGGTTGTGACTATTTTCTTCCACAATTTGACCTGAGGAAGTGGGTCTGGCCCACAAAAGCTCATCATCTAATAAACCATCTTGTTAGTCTTTAAAGTGCTACATAGTCCTGTATTGTGTTTCACTTTCCTGTGAGTTTTATTCCTTGTCTCTTGTCCTGAACAGGCAATGCACAGAAATGCTCGATCTCCAGAAGAATCTGACCATTTCTCTGAGCATTCAGGACAGGTGGCTTTTGGGCCAAACCTACTGGGACTGCAGAGCATTGGGGTCCAGTGCAAAAGAGCAAAATACAGGGGCTGATCAAGGAATGGGTTGAAACGTGAGGAAGGCAGAACAGATCCACTCTCCCATGTGTCCAGTCAGGCAGGGCTGCTTCCTGGACCGGGTGCCAGATGTGGCACAGGAGTTTACAGGGAACATTTTAGTATCCTGATAACAGATTATTCCTCAGATAATTTGTGGGAAAAGATTGTATGGGGAGAATCTCAATTAGTGACCGACTGATCCTGAGATTCTAAATTAGATCTGCTCTACTCCAACTTGAATGCACAGTTCAAGACATTCCAATACACAATCAGCTCAGGAGAGGGAAGCAAGACAAGGGTTTAATTGATGGATTTTATGATTTGTCATAATTAATACTACCTCGCTGTTCTTTTTGTGACTGCCAATATCCATGCTACACCTACATGAGTGTCAGTACTTCCAATTTCTCTCTTCCCCCACCCCCCTCTCTCCATGTTTAACTGTCTCTCCGCCTCTGCAGCCAAGGTGATTCCCACCTATCAGCCTTTCCTCCCTGTCTCTCTCTCCATAATTAAACCCCCGCCCCCCGGGCCATTATGCCTCTGGATATCTCAAATTCATTGAAACCTGGGCATTGCAATGAGTGAAAGACTTAACTTTGATAGGCTACAACGATCTGTGAAACACAGGAGTCTGCGACACTGATTCACTGTCTACTCTGCCAACAGGAGTGTAGGAGAGACCAGCATCCCACAGCAGAGGTTTCATGACGACTGAGTTGAGGACAACATCCCTGCCCCTCACAGAGTCCAGCCTGGAAAATGGAACCAATTTTGAAACAGACCGTGTGACTACAGCAATCATCAGTGTCGCTCTTGTCATCTGTCTGTTGGGGCTGGTGGGAAATGGGATTGTGCTCTGGTTTGACAGCTTCCGCATAAAGAGGAACCCCTTCACCGTCTATGTCCTCAACCTGGCTGCTGCGGACTTTGGCTTCCTCTTCTGTTTGGCAATTTTCTTAACAATTTATGTCATGCGTTTATTTCACTTATTCTATTTAATGAAGCACTTGAACTTTCAGCTTTTGATCATGTACAGCACCAGCCTGTACCTCCTGGCAGCCATCAGTGCCGAAAGGTGTGTGTCTGTCCTTTGCCCCATCTGGCACCGATGTCGCCGCCCAAAGCACTTGTCTGCCATTCTCTGCACCTTGCTCTGGGCTCTCTCCTGCCTGCTCAATGGACTGGGATTTTTTGTTTGTGCTTCTATGTCCGTTAGACATTACATCACGATGCTCATTCCACTCTCGGTTACAAGTTTCCTGATATTCACCCCCATCATGGTTACCTCCAGTCTGACCCTGTTTATCAAGGTCCGATGTAGCTCCCAGCGATACCACCCAGGGAAGCTTTACATGGTTATCTTGCTGAATGTCCTCTTCTTCCTCATCTTTGCTGTTCCCCTAAGTATTGTCACCTTCCTCCAGAATTTTGTTTATCATTTTAATCTCCTCATTACTACTTTCATGCTGGCCTCTATGAACAGCAGCATCAATCTGTCCTTCCTTGTTGGGAGCTACAGAAATCGACAATTCAAGCGATCTGTCAAAAAGGCACTTCGTAGCGTGTTTGAAGAGGATGCAGATACCAAACAGGAAAGGGTTAGGGCCACTTAAATCCCTATGGCCGTGGTCACCAACCAGTAGATCTCAGGGGCTCTAAGAGTAGCTTTTGAGCCCTCTCTGAACTGCTCACCTGCGCAGTACATTTACATTAGATTTCCTCATGTAATGTAGGCGGGGCTTCAAGGAAGGGGCGGGGCAGTAGATCTTCGCCTGTTCTGAGACTTAAGTGATCTTGGGTGTAAAAAGGTTGGAGACCACTGCCCTATGGCAACCAACCTGGAAGACCCTATTGTGGGCTGCAGGTCTGGCTAGAACAATGGTTCACCGCCGAGGGCTGCTTGTAGCCCAGTCAGCACACAGCTGCAACCCATGTGACAGCCACAGGCCCATAGAAGAACTATATATGTTGTGCAGCTGCATATGTGGCCCACAAAGATTGGCTGAGAACCACTGATCTAGAAGGATCATAAAATTAAAAGAAATTAGAGACAAGAAAGTTCCCCTCATTCCATTCCCTGGTGTTCTGCGTATCTAGAGTCATCATCCTCACTCAGGGCCCAATCCGAGTGCCACTGAAATCAGAGGCAACATTTCCTTTGGATTTAATAGGAGCAGGACTGTACCATTCATTTTCCCTATAATGTAATAAAAACCTCTGACCATGATTTTTTTTGCATGTTCTATTTCTCCAATATAAAGTAAATTAGCTTGATCTGATGTAAGCAAGGTCTGAACAAACTCAGCCCTGACATGGGAAACTGAGGCAAGGGGCAGTGCCCAAAATACTTCAAGAACGGTGTTTTACTTGTCTGCTTTCCAGTCACTGAAGCAGCCTTTTCCCAAATCAAAGCCGTGTTTTCCTTTCTTAATAAAGCTTTGCTTTTGTTATACCCAGATTTCTGGGTGATAGGTTTGCGCTGATTCTGTTCTGTTTAGAGGAACCACTAGAGGTTGAACCCTATTCTTTTCTTGCATTATTAAATCTAGATACATATTGAACTAGAGATGAATGTCTAACCATTTAACATCAGTAGGAACCTCGCAAATGGCAAAATGGGGTTTCAATAACCTCTCATTGTATTAGATTGGTGCCACTGGAGGAATTCTGCAACACTGTGTAATGCAGAACTTGGCAGAAAATAGTGTTATGTGAGCAGAATATCTTCCCTCCCCCTCCCACAGCAAAGGGCGGTAGACCTGGACCTGGTAGAGATCAGTTCACAGATAGAAGACAAGGCGAGGGGGGGAGGGAGGGAACTGGGGGTTCATAGCAACTGCAGTTCATAACATTCCCTGATGGACAGCTATGGCAGCAGCGTGCAGGAAATTCTGCAAGGCTAGGACTCACCTTCAGAATGTTTTCTCTCTGAGCTGTAGGGGGGGGGTCAGTTCTGAGAGTGTCTGGCCCTAGCTGGGCTCTGTGATGGAAGGGGCAGAGAAACATGATTTGCCAGGGATTTCTTTAACTTTCTACTCTTGGGGGAATTTGAGTGTGTCTTTCCATAGTTAGAGATTAAGGTTGCCAGGTGACCAGTTTTGAACCGGACAGTCCAGTATTTGAGCTTTCTGTTCAGGAAACAAATTGAGAAAAAATAAATGAGAAAATAGAAATGGCCAGTATTTTCTAAAGAAGACGTAATGTAAATTGTGATGTAATGTCAAGTGTGTCCGGTATTTTTGCTGAAACCATTTGGCAACCCTATGAGAGAAACACTTGCTGATGGGTATTTTGAAACAAATTACCAAAATGATTGAAACTGTCTCGATTATATTGTTTTATTTTCCCAAATACAATTTGAAGAACTTTAAAATCTTGTGCACAGAATTAATTTTTTCATGCAGAATCCCAACTTATTCAATGTTTAATTTTTGATATTGAGGGTTTTAAGGGTTAAAGATTAGTCACACAGACTGAGCCACGAACATACGAGGATCTTGGTAGAAAAGGCCTTACAGATGCTCACAAAGAACTGTCCTTTAAAAAGATAACATCACATCAGGAAATGAAAGTTCAGAATCATAGAACTAGAAGGAACCTTGAGATGTCAAGTCCAGTTTCCTGCACTCACAGAAGGATGAAGTGCCATCACTCTAGACAATCCCTGATGGATGATTTTTAAGAGCAGGTTAGATCAGTGGTCCCCAGCCTTTGTGTCCAATAGCACATTCATGGTTTCTGAAGAGTGTGGCGGGCGCCAACAATTTTTCAAGGCTTATTTTGTATTTGTACATTAAATACAGAAAATATAATATTTAATATTACATAATATATGACTCCATAAGAAAGGTAATTTTACATGTAAAAGGTATTAATTAAATTATTCAGCCATTACTCTTTCACCGTACCATGTGAATTTGCTCTTTTTTATCTACCTGTAAGAGAAATTAAGGAATTTTTCCAAAATAAATATCATAAACAGTTTTTTATTTATCATTAACAGTTATTTATTTAAAAAAAGTAAAACATTGTTGAACTGTTGGTCCAAATATATTTATTATTCTTACTTTAACATAGATAGCCCGTTATGGTTAATTACAAAATATTCTCTGTATTGTCATTTGTTTCTGGATTTCAATAAACAAACAAATATGAAAAAAAAAGTTAAACAACATCATACACACTTATCGGCACAATGGAAAACAGTGAAAAAAACATTAATTTATGTGGTTTTTCTAATAAAGTCAGTGTTATTTTTGGCACTGCATTTCTTCAGCCAATTTTTCGTAGTTGGGAAAGTAGGATGATATTCGTGTTCGTAAGCAATCAAGATGAGCATCTGTAAGCCTAGATCTGTACTTTGATTTTATGAAGTTCATTGTTGAAAACAGAACTTCGCTTAGATAAGTGAAAATAAAATAAAATCTTATTTTGGATGCTACGTTTAAGGCAGGAAACTTTTCGGTCAGATTCCAAAAGTTTTCATCTGTTGCACAGGATTTTAGAACAATATCATTTTGAAGGTCCAAAATCTCCAGTTCCACCACTTCTGTTCTTACTTGAATGAGACTCGCAATTGATGTAGCCATTTCTGTTACCTCTATTTGGGAAGTAAAAGGATTCACAAGAAAGGCAACTACAGGCTCAATGATGGTGAACTGTTGAAATCTCTTTTCAAATTGTTCCAGAAGTGTTTGAATATGGATAACAAATGGTGATGGGTTAAAATCACTGTCACATACCATTTTCTTCATGCTTGGGAAATGTACGAGAGACTTTGCCTTCATATGTGACATCCACAAGATCAGTTTTGCTTTGAATGATTTTCCAGAACCTATCATTTGAGCCACATGTTTGTCTTTTTCCTGGAGCTCAAGATTTAAAATGTTCAATTTGCCAGTTATGTCAGCAAGAAAAGCCAAGTCCATTAACCAGCTGGAGTCTTCTAGTTGCTCGAAGTTCTGATTTGTGGACTTCAGAAATTCTTTGATCTCTACAAGTAGGCTTAAAAAACGTGCAAGAACTTTACCTTTGCTCAGCCATCGTACTTCTGCATGCAAGATAAGATCAGATTGTTTATCATCAATATCTTCCAACAGGGCCTTAAAAAGTCAGTGTTGCAAAGGTTCCGCTCGAATCGAGTTAATTTTAATAACATTCATGACATGTTGAAAAGAAAGAACTTTGACACACAAAGCTTCTTGGTGGATAATGCAATGATAAGACAAGTTTCAGAAAGGATTCATCCTTCTTGCAGAGTGCAATGAATCCATTGGTGTTGCCCATTATTGCTGGTGCCCCATCAGTACTGATCGCAGACAGCTTGTGTAGTAGCATGCTAATTGATGTTGCATATAATTTGAATAAATTATAGATGTCATCACCCTTTGTTTGCCCTTTCATAGGCAATACTTTTAGTAACTCTTTTTACGGTGAAGTCACTAAATACCATCCTCACCATAACTGCCAACTGCGCTGTATCCGATATATCTGTCTACTCATTGAACTGCAGTGAAAACCAGTCACATATTTCCAAGTCATCCTTTAGCTGAGTTTGCATGTTGCTTGAAATTGCATGTATTCTCCTCGTAACTGTGTTGTCTGATAACTGCAAGTCTTGTATTGCCGACAAAATCTCATGCTTGTTAGAAAATCCTTGAAACAGGCAATCAGCACCAGTCAAAAATGCTTCCTTCGACAGTTCACCATCTTCAAAGGGTTTTTTCTTCTTTGTGAGCAGATGAGCAATTTTAAAGGAAGCAATAGTAGCACTTTTGGACTTTACTAATTGTCTAGTGAAAACAGATTGCTGGGCAGATAGAAGAAAATCAATCAACTCAAATCAAACCTCTCTCAATTCAGATTTAAGTGGATGGCTAATGTCAAAAGAGCCGTGATTAGTTTGGAAATGGCGCTCAACATTATGTTTTTTTGGCGCTGCAACAGTATCACCGCACAATAAGCAAACACATTTTCCTTTGTCAATAAAACAATAGGATTCTTCCCACTCCGCGTTGAAATAATATGTACATTGTCTTATCTGAACCACTTATTTTGGGCAAAATGTTATAAAAATAATAAATTGCAAAGCACGATAAAACAGCAGTATCAGTCAGGGGCAGATGAAAGTTTTGCAGGGCCAGGGTAGTACAATTTCGCGGGCTCCCCTTTGGAGAAAAATTAGAAAAAAGGCGTCAAATGTGAAATTGAAGGCTATTTTCATATTAAATGTGAATTGGGTAAATTTGATAGAAGTTGGATGATTTTTATTTTAATTATACTGTAATTCTTTTAAACAAAATTTTGCATTAATAAAAGGGGGGGATGTCCAAATGTTGAGCAAAAAAGCACCCTCTCTCCCCCACCCCCCAAAAAAAATCATGGCACCTTTAAATCTCACACTCCCTTCCACATGGCAGGATAAGAATGTCCCAAGTGGCTTTCCAGATGAGAAACTGAAAATACCAGGTATTTTACTGGTGGGGAGGGGGTCAGGCCAGGGGCTTGGATTGCGCTTCAGGGCAGGGGATTGGGGTGCAGGGTCTGGGAGGAGAGTTCTGTGGGTAAGGTGTCAGAGTGGGAGTAGCTGGGGGGCCGGACACTTCCCAGCAAG